ACTGAAGAATTCATAGGTGAAGTTGAAAAACTAATCAGTTAATACCTGTTGATTGCAAATCAAAGTGAACATATGTAGGAAGTCAATTTTAGTTGACGAATTTCTATGGGCTAGGAATTGGAAATAGGATAAAGTCGGATTATAATATCACGGAACTATAATGACGTCTGAAGGGGTTGTAATGAGGGGATTGTTAGTGATACCTCACATACTTGTTATGGGATTGGTGCAACTTTATTGCATGTGTGGTTCATCAAGTAGTTGTGGGTTTGAAGTTTGGGCGGTGGTTTGGGACTAGGATCGGGTGGAACACAGGGGTGATGGGAAGCAGCGGTGGAAGGGGCGAAGTCAACGGGTAAAATCCAAAAGTGCAAGAGAGGCAAGATAAGGTGCACGCCTCATGCTGCAATTCCAATGCCTTTTAAGGACTCATTTTCTAGTGAATTAACAGAATAAATGATTTAAAATTAGGAAAAAGGTAGGAACAGAGAAAAGTAACATCAATAGAGAGGAAACGGAGCAACAAAAAGCAGTGAATGGATAGACAACATATCTGGGCACCAGCTATTGGTGTTGCCAAAGCAGCAGCTACAATTGAAAGAGAGCGACAAGAGGGAGAGAGGAGATAGATAGAGGCTTTAGATACAAGGGTTTCATAGGTAAGTTTTGCTCTTTTAAATATGATCATCAGATTAAGCTAGTCAGATTAAATAGTCCATGCCAATTTATTGGGTTCCTGTTGAATTCACTTGGGTTCTCTTGAGGAGAAGCCATTTCCACAAGCACCAAGGTGGCTTGCATGAGACGTGGAGAATGAGTCACATTTATTACTTGATTTCTTCAAGAAAATGTGTCTGGACAATCCCAGATTAAATCCCTATTTTTTGGTCCTCTCTTGTTGCTTTCTAGTTGGTAAAATTACATAACCTAGATGAGATTATTTAAGAACTTGGTTTATCTGAGTCAAACCTTGTATTCACGTTGACTAAATCACCTGCAACCGGATCATAGAGATGACAGATAGAGGGTTTGCAGACAAGGGCATGCTGATTAGTTTGCTCTTTTCTTTTAATTTTTTAACTAAGCAAACAAATCAGATAGGCTTAGGATGACTAAATTACCCCCTCACTAGTTAGAAATTTCAAGGGCAAAAAAAAAAGAAAAAAACCTCCCAAATGCCACACATCCTATAAGCACTAGAAGGCAAAAACCTCAGCTAAAAACACAAACAACAAGCTCCATATGAAACAAGGTGTACACATTGTTGGACATCGGTCAACCTGGTTAGGCAAAGAGCCAAGCATTGCCTCAAGGTGCACCACTGGAGATATGGATGTTTCCACTAGAATCCGCATTCCTATCAGATGCAAGTAGAAGTTATCTTTATATCCTTCACGCATATGACATTATTTTTCCCATTAATTCTTGGTGTGTGTCAACAACTGCAATGAAAAGAAAGAAGTTTCTTCACCATTATCATAGCAAAAATAAAAGCAATTAGTTACACTTGTGATCTTTTAGCATTACTTGTCAATTAAGTTGCAGGGGAACTTGAAACATTCAACTTTTAGCTGGTTTTAAAACCGAGTTTGAGTTATAGTATAATAGCAGGGGTGCATGAACACATGATTTCATCTTGAAAATAGAAATTTTTGGGACTTGTGCTTTAAAATCTCTCTCTGATGGTTAAAGAAGCTTACTTCACCTTTTTCTGGGATGATTGCTTAGTATTATGCAGAGAAGCAAGCACTTGGAGTTGTAGACCAGGAGCTCCTCGACACTCAGGTGAACCCTGCTGTGTGGGAAATTAGTGGACATATGGTGCTTAAGCGAAGAAAAGATTACAATGATGCATCAGAGGAATATGCATGGAAACTTCTTTCTGAAGTTTCTTTATCGGAGGAGAGATTTGAAGAGGTGAAGGGTTATATTTCTGAAGCAGCTGATTTGCAAGAAGCGGGGGATAAAAGCATCAATCCAGAACCAGAGAAGGAAATTCCAGATTCTCCTGGTCCTCAAGTTGCCTCACATATGCCTCAAGATTGTTTGGTATTACACTGAGGAAGTTGTGGCCTGCCCGCTCTTGCAGGATTTAATAAAGGTTGAAGTATCTAGTATTTTTGTGTGCTACTTTTTGCACGTCTTGTTCAATGCGTATTGTTGTAGCAGTTGGGAGTTGGTAATCCCCAAATAGTGTTTTGTACATATGCTTTGTTTTTAATGCCTGCGAGCTCTAGCCTTTGGCTGGGTTGTTTAATAAATACTACAGTACTTTTTTGTTGGTGATTAACTGATTAATAACACCACTTGCCCCAGTTCTTGTTACAGCTTAATTGTGTTTCTAGATTTTATGTGGATTAAATTATTTTCTTAGAGTAGGTTTTAAACTATGTTTCTCCAATCTCCATTAGAGTGAGACATAGTGTCTTCGGAGTAATTAGTCGAAAGAACTTGCAGTTGAAATTCCCAAGGATGCCCTCATCTACATCGTTGAAATGAAGTCCATGGGATTTATTTTCTTCCTGGAATGGCTAGAGCAGAGCCCCTTCTTCAGCTAGTCGAGAACTCAATAAAAGTAATATTTCCTCCTTTTTCTTACACAAGTTTTCCCCTGTCTTCCCTGTAAATAGTACTATTGCTACAAATGGGACTGGAACAAGAAATAATACTTTTTTTTTATATTGCCGATTAATATCAGACCAAATTATCCAAACCAAACAGGTCTTCATGGTCTTATATTGCTGAAATAATGCTTGGTCATTTTCTAACGGAAAATTCAGTTATCTACCATATCACGCATCGAAATATTCTGGTTTCCTTATCTATTTGTTTGTTTTCATCACTTCCCTGTGTTGAGAATAAGAAAGAACATAGCAACTAGATGAATTACCTTCATTCTATACCAAACCAACTTCCAAAGTACGTTTTGTTGATTTAATATCATTTAAGAAATCAACATAGTTAAGTTGGTAATTATTAAGAATGTAAAATGTCCAAATTCACCTTTATATTATTCGAAATTGTTCAAATTTGCTTTCTATTATACTTTTAGTCATTCATATCTTTGTTGTTATAGAGTCGCCTCTATTTGCTCTTGTCCATCATTAAACGAGTGACATACTCCAAGTGTCCAAATTCATCTACTTTTGATTATGGTCCAAATTTAGATTGACACTCTAAAATGTTACCCTTTCCCCTTTTAAGAAAAAAGTGACTATAACTAAATCACGAGCGCCCTCAAATTCATGTCCAACTATTGAACATGATCTCTTATAGGGGTGTTCATGCTTCGTCTTTTCCCTAAATAGAAACCAAACCAAGTAAGTCGGTTCTTCAAATATTGGAATCAAACCAAACCAATTAAGTCAGTTTTTCGGTTATTTATCAGTTTTCTTTTTTAAATATGAGATATACACATAATCCGGAGGCTACATTTTCAACGTAAAACTATCAAACCAATTGCTCTTTGAGAAATCTATCATTTATCAAGATATATTCATAATAATTGAATCAAATAGTGATGAATAATTTAAGTACTCAATTAAAAATTAATTATTTTTAACATAAAAAAAAATCTTATATTTAGCAAAAGAAAACTACCAATCAAACTAGAATGTAAAGACAAAGAATTAGATTATTATAATATCAAAAAACTAGACTAAAATATAAACGACTAATATGTACCATAAAATGTTAGAAACTTTATATAAACAGTGTGTGTAATAATAAATTTAAATAACTACTTATATAGTCGGTTTGGTTCGTTTTTTCGGTTAATTTTTTATTAAAACCAAAACTAAACCAAATTTGATCGATTTTTAAAATTCAAAACCAAAACCAAACCAAACCTAAAAAGTATCGGATTTTTTTGGTCAGTTTAATTCGATTTTTCGAGTTTTTATAAACATGAAGTCCCAATGAGTAGAGGAAATTGGGTTTGCTGCTTCCTTCTGTGGTTGATATTATCTAAACATTACATCAGAGGTCTCCACTACTTTAAGTGATTTTTTGGTATTTTTATTGTGGTCCACAATATTTAATTTTTCAGATATCAAGAAGGAATTAATTTTTTTTCTAAAGTTACTCTTAAAGTAAAGAGTCTAGAAGTAATTTGTTATTAAGATTAATAGATCAATTTTCTTGTTAATTAATATTAAAAGTTAAATTTCTTGATATGTGTGAAAATAGTCTAAAAAAAAAATCACTTAAAAGCCCTTCAACGTGTCAAACTTTGGGACGGCAGAAAGGGTAACAGAAATAATGATAATGTTAGTTCGGCTTCATAAGATAACCGGCTTCCCCACTCAATGCAGTTTGACCAGAAAAAAGTAAATTAGAGAAAAAGAATACTACAAAAAAGACACTTTTTATGCAAATTCATGCTACGCGACAGTAAACACATGTTACTCAAAAATCAGCGGCTATTCAATGCCACAGGAATACAGGATATTCAAAACGCCTCACAAGATTTGGACAAACACGAATTCAAAAGTCATAATCACCATGTATTGCGGGAAAATATTTTTCCACTAGCAAAATCTTCACCCATAAACTAAATATACATAAAACAATAAGAGTACTCTCGTACTAAACAATTTATTTTTGTGTTTAGGGTATCTAACCACAATAAAAATAAACTAAATTTAAATATAGATTGGTACATTTTAAAAAATTCCATAGTTAATTTTCTCTGAAAACGGACTAAAAATGACAAAAAGTGTCAAACAGGCAGAAGTAGTAATATTAAATGCTAGCCGCCTTTAATAAATGAAACACGGCGTTTCGGAGAGGAAAACCGATAGTGATACATACTAGTAGTAGCAATAAGAAGACCACAAGCGCGTTGCCCTATTAACACGATTACGATTCCGTGTGGTTTTTGGCACTACTCAATAATTTTGCATATTCGTAAGCCACAAATTTCTTCAGCAGCACTCCAAAGTATCAACCAATTACAATAAAGCAATAAAAACCAATCAAGAGGAGATAGAACAAATAAGTGAAATGGAATGCGCGTGACTCATCTATAGTAAAAGTCACAAGTACAAAATCGAAAGTAAGAAATTTAATTTTTTAAGTATTATTCTTTCCTTTTTTGAATTATAGTAATGAAATTGGATTTTAACAGACAATTTCTGCAAATATATTCCTAATAGTCCAATATTATAGAAGATTTTGCTGCTTCCGAATTTCTCGAGAACTAACTACAGTTAGAGTTGATTGACAGCAAAAACGCACAATAGAAATCTGTCAAACAAGAGCAACAGAAGCAGGCAGAGTATCTACAAAGTTCCGAAATCGGTTCCAATTAAAAACCTACCGTTGATTTATAATCTGAAAAGTCAAGTCCTACTCATCATCTTCTTAAACTCCTCGAAGTTAACACATCCATCGCCGTCAACGTCGACGGAACTGATCATACGCCGGCAATCCTTGAGCGAGCACTTCTCTCCTAGGCTTTTCATTACAGAATGCAACTCAGCCGCCGTGATCTTGCCGTTTTTGTCCTTATCGTACAAGTCAAAAGCCTCCCGAAGCTCTTTGCTATCATCACCGTCCGTTCCTCCTCCAGGACAGTGAAAAGCCGCGAACTCTTTCAAGTCAATAAAACCATCGCCATCAGTGTCAACTTCCAACATTATTCGCTTTACTTCATCCGGCGATGTTGTACTGCCGAGGGCATTCAGTATCGCGCCAAGCTCCGACAGAGAGATTTTTCCGTCGCCATTGGCGTCGAACTTCCGGAACACCTTCGCGACTTCGTCCATCTCCGCCGCTGAAACTGCCGGCTCTTTGGAATCGCTCGGAGTTTTGGCCATTGCGGAGTAGGAAAGTGGAGGGCGAAGAGATTTTTTCAGTTGCGAGTTAGTTGCTGGGAATATATATGGGAGGATCACGCGGTTTAACGCGCAAGAGTGGGATATAATTGTCTGTCACGCGGAATTTCGCGTGAAGTCCAGGCCGCTTTTAGTTGGTGAGCCAGGATCCAGTACGAACGCTCCCATGCTTCCTAACAATAAATGGAGGACTTCCAAATGGAGTAGTAAATTTCAAGTCTTTTTTTTTTTAATTCCTAATTTAAGAGAAAAACTAAAAATATGAAGTTGAAATGTGTGTTACTTTTGTTGTCGGAAGAATGCCAAATGTTGAAAACTAATTTAAAGTTGGAGTAAAAAATTTAAATTATTTAATTTAATATTTGTTAGTTTATTTAATTTATGTCTAAATAAAATTTATAAAATAATATACGATCAAAATATAGTTTGCACTATTATAAACATGAGCATTATTATTACTTATTTTCTTGTATGGAGAACATTGATATCATATTATTGATTTTTTTTGGAATTCTGAGTAATTTATTTTTTGGGTATTTGTATCCTACATCACATAAAGCAAATAACTATCCATAAATGAAAATAAAACATTTATTTTCGAATCGATACAACTTTCGTTTAAGAAAATGACCGCATATAAATTAAACAATTACGTTTTTGTTCATATATAGCTATGGCTCAGTTCTATGTTGGCTAGGATTCAATATATGAATTTTGTAATCAGTCAAGTCTATGTCGTGCCAAACTTATTGGACTAACTAGTGAATAAGCGCGATTAATAAAAGACTTAAATAATTTTTTCAATATATGTATATTAAAATTATATTAGTCATAAAATCTAAATGTATTAGAGTTCAAGTTCTAATCAATTTTATATTAACTGATTTTATATTTTTTCTTATTGGGGTTTTATTGTGAGATAGTTGATCCTTTTTCTTAATAACCTAAACGTATATACGTGATGCTATTACCTATTTCTCATCTTTTACCTTTCCTTTTTTTTTTTATAATCTTTTCTTCTTATTTTCTTCCTTACTTTCCTAACCATTTATTTTTCAGAAAAAATTGTCAAATATGAAACTCAAATATAAATTACATAAAATAGTCCAAAAAAGTTGACATACTGATATTGTCGAGTCTCAACATGTTTAATCTAGCATGAAAACATTAAAAAATCCTACATTGTTGCCTCGCTCAACAAAGGCGTACGTAGTGTTATAGTACCGGGTTCATTTGAACCTAATAATTTTAACGCATAGTATAAATTTGGTGTAAAATATTATTGAAATTATAACACATAGTGGGTATGAAATCATAACTTTTAAAATATAATAGATTCATTACTAAGAATCTATAATAGATTTATTACACATGTAATACGTCTCTATCGCTAGTAATATCTAGTACTTCCGAAGTAATGTTCTTTTTTATGCTAAGAAATTTCATATTAGACCCCCAGAAAAAAAAAAAATACACAATGTTAAACAGTTAAAGAATACAAATAAAAATTCAAATGAACAAATAGACTTCTGCTATGAAAATTAAAGCTGATGGATTATTATAAGCAGCGGAAGCAATTTCAGTATCAAAATTACATGTAATCTAGACAACTAATATAAACAGGATTTCACGGGTTACCTCTTGAAGCGTGAACAAAGTTCCTCTATCACGTGAGCCTCCAATTCCACAGCAACTCAATGAAATCTTCATCATCGGCGTGATAAAGATTCACGAACGTTCCACGGTCTTCTACTGTGTTACCTAAATAATATCCGAAAATAGTAATTTCTTGTGGGCGAAATTTTCTAGGAAAAAGGCTAAAACTTTCGGCCACCTTGTTCTACCCCCTCTAGGTGGAAAACATTATGTATTTATAACACAAGTTTTAAGGGTTAAAATCCTTTTCCAAAACCTGTTGAGTTTTCTTTTCCACCAGAAAAAAGATTCCTTTACTTCCTATTATTTAGGCACAACAGAGACCACATAATTTAATTAACAAGGCTTCCAATTATGGAATTAATTTATAATTTTCGAAATTAATATCCACCATAATTAATTACGAATTATTCCACTAAAAATTCGTAATTGCACTCCTTATTCAATTTCGAAATTCATCCATTAAATCTTATTTAACTCTCCATGTTAAGTTTCAGATACTAATCAATTAAATTAAATTACTGGCAATTTAATTTATTGATTATTTCATTTAGACTTTCGCTTAACTTATTTCATGTGTCGGATACAAAATTCACCGGTCGGGTTTACACATGAAAACTTATTAGCCTTCATAAAGGTGTATCATCAATCTCTAAACCGAGACATGGATTCCATCAACTGACTATTACTTCGCCAATGTACATTATTATTATCCAATTTACCAGGCATATTGACACACGAAAGAATTTCGCCTTTTAATAAATCAAAATAATAATAATATACACAGCTAATAATAATTATATCAAGATTAAAAGTATAAGTACATTTAATTGCTAGAGAGTTTATTTTATTAAGTCAGTATAAAATACGTGTCTCTACTTGGTCCGTTTAATACATACAAAATGTATTAGCACAAGAAGTTGGAATTAAACTATTACTATAATCAAGATAAATTATATTTAATCTTGTGCTACAATCATTCCTGATGGTTTGTCCAATTCCATCATTAGATTGTGAACTCAAACTTTATACTTATAAGAACCGATAGTTTAATCTTCCATGTAAAAGCTAAACTCTATACACTAAATTATCTACTATATAGGCAAATGACACAAACTAATATATGATCTATTTAAAACTTTATTAAAACTGAATAAATAATTATTTTATAATAAATATTATATCTAAACCAAACTCATGATTAATAGTATATATCCCAACAATCTCTCACGAACTTTTAACCATAACAATTATTAGAATATAATATATCCAAATGCATTGGTGAGCAGTATATGCTCCAACAAAAGCCTCACCCGTATTGGCTTTGACGAATTGCCTCATGTCCAAGCTATGTGGATTGGTTTAAAATGAAAGTGGAAAAAGTGATAAGATTGTGAATAATAAAAAAAAAATAATGACATTGGTTAATATAACGAATAAACTTTGACTGAAGAATTTTTTGAGGGAACTGCTATTGGTGGAAAAAAGATAGAGAAGTTGAGGAGGAGAAATTTTATTACCATACATTTTTCGTTTTTTCCCCCCTGTTTTCTTTCCTTATTTTTCTTTTTCTTCTTTTCTNTGACCAAAGTACTCCATTCTTCCAGATTTTCTGTAAATTTACAGACTTATTTTCTTTGTCTTGCTATACATTGTTCTTACATTTTAAAATGGTCACCAAACTTTTTATATAAATTCAATGAAGAAACTGTAATAGAATATGTTTTATTTTTCAACAGCACTAACAACATGTGCCATCAAAGAGACCAATAATTTAATATTTATTTATAAAAGAAAAAACAAGCACATGTAGTAGATGAATAAAATCTCCAAATTCAATATTTTCAATCCCTGCCAAAGCTCTTAGGATTTGACCATGTATACGAGCTAGGAAGGCTTCTTGTTCTCCTTGGTAGATGTGTTTCTCAAGAAATATGTCCATTAACTGAGAATACAAGAAACTGAAAAAGTTATATATGGTGTTCTAAGGTATTATAGAAAGCATCAAATATCAAATACTGTCACATTTCCCATTTAAGGAAACAAAGGTATATTAAAAAAAAAAAATGACATCGCCATATCCAACCTAATGAATCAAAAGAACAATCCATCAATTTAAACAATCAAATCTTTATTTTAGGGAGGGAAAGAGAAAGCCGATATTCAATAGAGCCTTATAGACCTTCCTATTAAACCTTCCCATTACCTACTTTAAATTTTGTTTGAGAGTACACAGTATTCACCGCTGTAAAGCTTTATGAATTGGATTTTATTCATTGTCGAGTGTCTTTTGAAAGTAGCAGTTCTATACTTTTATTAATTGTTGCAATCTTTGTAAATCCTTTAAATTGCAACTGTTGCAGCCGTTTTTAGAAGAACACGACTGGTGAGTTTTTAATTATCATATTAGGAGAACTTAAATAATAAAATAGCAGTTACTTTTATTAATTGTTGCAACCGTTGTGCATCCTTTAAAATTGCAATCGTGCTAATTTACTTAATTAGAAACAAAAGAAAATGGCAAAAATTTGAGAAAAAAGATAAATAAGAATCCTAATCTAAGAGACACTACTAGAAATTCGGCAAAAAACGACCAAGATCGACCAGTCAAAAAATCAGCCAAAAAACCGATCAAAGTTGATCGGTTTTTCAAAATATTTTATTTTTTAATATTTTTTTACAGAACCGACCAACTTTGGTCGGTTTTCTTTGGCGCAAAAATGCGGGAAACTATTTTTGAGTCCCGCGAAATTTATTTTTCAAGAAACCAACCAACTTTGATTGGTTTTTTAATTAAAATAAATAAAAATTAACATTAAAAAAATCGACCAAAATTGGTCGGTTAATTCGGCCGGTTATTTTAAAAAACCGACCAACTTTGGTCGGTAATTTTATTTTTTAATAAAATCGACCAACTTTGGTCGGTTATTTTCGTGCGAAAATACAATTAAAGAGTATAAATCAAATAAAAGACAGTTTTAAAACAAAATGCATCAATGTTCTAGTGGTAGAATAGTATCCTGCCACAGTATAGACCCCAGTTCGATTCCCAGATGGTGAATTTTTTGATTACATAATTAAAATACCGACCAACTTTGGTCAGTTTTTTTTTTGAATTTAATTGACCGACCAACTTCCGACCAACTTTGGTCGGTATGCCTTTTCGACCCCTAAAATACCGTCCACACGTAAATGGTCGCGTTTTGGATGGTTATTGGCCATTACCGACCAACGTGTCACGACCCAACTGGAGGGTCATGACTAGCACCCGGGCCATACTTGCCGAGCACCA